TTTAATTTCAATCAGTTTAAAAATGCTTTACCAAATTTCAAGTTTGTTTAATAAATCAAATAAGGAAATGTTTATTTCCATGTAATCAAAAGTGGTGTTTGCCCGGAACAGCCTTATTTTCGTTCCAAATTATTGCTGTCAATACCATTATGGGTTTATCACTAATAATTTCAAAACACATATTACTATGTGAAGTTGAAGCTCCATAGTGAATTATTGATTCGATACAAAAACATCCATTTGAAATTTGAAAATGGTATGCCTTGGAAATGAAACATCTACTGAAATATCTTTGACAGCATTTAAGAAAATTAATTATATAATGATTCAGTAAATTCTACTTCGAGTACAATCAATGCTTACCTTTGCACAATAACAGCTATGCAACTAATCGTCAGTAAGACATAAGTAAATTTTGCCATCTTATGAAAAGTAATCAATGTCCAAAGGCTTCGCATGTAGACAAAAATACTCAAGCTCTATTAATGTGCTTAGTTCAAATGTGCATTTGAAATTTATATTGTCCAACTTATCAATTGTAACGAGTAATTTCATGTTTGACTATTAGGAATAATTGGTTAGTTTCAGCAGATAATTACACGTTGAATTAATGTATTCGCGAATATTGTTGCCAGTGACATGCCAGGAAAGAAACAAATTCTCAACATAAAGATTATAGCCCAGCAGATAGTTTTCAAACCAGCCATAGGCATTCGGTTTTATATCATTTATTAATAGCAAGTGACGTTTCGTCATGTGCTCTTGTCTTTATGTGGAGTTTCGTGTATGTGTTCCAATCAGCAATACTGCCTCCTGCTGTCTCCGGAATTATTATCTCATAAATACGTCAAAATAAACTGCTGTTAAAATGTGAATAAAAAATTTGTAAAATTGGGAGATGTATTATCTAAAGATCGTAAAAACGTTTAGAACAAAACAATACGTACAATACCTCAAAGGCAAATCTATCTCTGCCAAGAAATTATATTAACTTATTGATGCACGAATTATAATTAAACTTGTAAAACTTTGTACTTGAACAAAAAACAAATATTCACTTCATTTCAAATAAATACTTCGTTTTGGTGGTTCCAAGATCTGTTTCCATATACGATTTGATTGCTTCTGCTACAGCTAAAGAGAAATATTTAATTGTGGACACAGGCTCGCTTTGACGTCAAATGTAAACGCACTCTATTAGAAATACTGACTTCAGTGTCTCCATATTCCCATTCAGTATTCAAATAAAGTTACTTAATGCTGACATTGCAGCAAATCGTTTTTCTAAATACACGAAAAAGATTTTTAGTTGAAAAGAGAAGTAAATATTGATTAGAGATAGCATAATGTTAGACTTTATCAACGTATGTCAAATCTGAATCAACGCTTTAACATCATCCATATGTCAACATAATATATTGAAACTTTACCGTATTAAAATAATTCGAATCATGGAATCATCGAATACTTGCTAAATGATTTTTTCAGAACAAACTTTTGTCAATTTAGCTAACATGCAATGTATTTTTTAAACAATGGTCTTTTTAATTTATTATCTGCAATTTATTCATCCTTCTCTGACAAAGAAACTTTTAAAACGTGGCACTTTACAATACTGATTCTATTTTAAGACTTTAAAAAGCTAAAAGCCGACGAAAGATGTACGCGAGTATCGTAGTGCCAACATTATTAGAAAAGATTCCTGAGTTAGTACGGTTGACGATCATCGGGGGCGATCGACGACTACCTTAGTTGGTCATTACAGTGATTTAGCAGTCAGGACGTTTCGTCAAAGACGTCGTGAAAATGGCGTGGCATGCGCTTTTTACATCCGGTTCAATCTACGACGGCAGTCGTGTTGACGACGACGACTTGAAAACTTACAATTTGGCGTCGTATCGACGACAGCTGAAACAAACTCAATTTTTGGACAGAAACAAGGATATATCCTTCATATTTGCATCTTAAAATATTATATAGGCCTACATATATTTATCTAAAATAAAAACTGCAAATGTTTTGTTTCCTAAAACAAACAAGTAAACATTGCGGAGCCTAATCTAATTTGGGGGGATTTCCTCAGAGTCAAAACAATTTTATTCAAAAAGACGCATGTCGATGATTTTGCTTATATATATATATTTTTTAAAACAAATTTACTGCTGGAATTTTTCTATCAAAAAATTAGTTTAAAATGATAGAAAAAACGATCCAGCAGGAAAATGCCGAAATGGACAAAGTCCTACAAAAGGTTTGCTAAATCATAAATACTTCAAGACGTCGTGGCGTCCTAGGCACAGATCTCTTGCGAAAATTTGACGACGTCTTAGACGAAACGTCGAGTTTACTAAATCACTCTATTGAATAAGATGCAGTCGAGTTTCAATTCAGAGACTGCCGATTGATGCCGCGTGTGAGCGTGGACAAAACCATGCATGTAAGTTGTCCGTAAGTTACAACATACTTGTCCGTAAGTTTGGCAGATTTTGTAAATGTTTGTCGAAGGGAGATGTTGCTAGGAAATATACTGTAAATTATAAATGAGAGATTTGTCAGGGAATCCATTACAGTGCTCTTTGTATATGTAATAGCATGGTTTTGAGTGCAATTTGGGAAAAACATACACGAGTGAGTTTTTCAAAGACTATAACATTGCAAGAGCCTGAATACAACAAATTACCACCAACGCACAAGTAAATTTTGCCATTTTGTTAAATGTGATCGTTATCCACAAGCTTGGAGTGAGGACAAGATCATGGAAGCTCCATTTATGTATTTGGGTCAACTGTATTTTAATAATTTATTGCCAACTATCGATGATGCATGCACGTAATTTCATGTTGAGTATTCATGAAGAATAGGGTGGTTTCAGCTGATGATAAAAGAGTTTAATTATTTGAGATTTAGACAGTAGCCATTTTATTCTCGAAGTTTCGTCCAATGAATTTGCAATATTACAAGTTCTGCTTGAAATTTAAACAGCTGTTATTTTATTATCGAAGTTTCGTTTAAAACTACTAATTTTGCTTCTATTACATTGTATAGTCAAGCTTTGATGTGAATCGAACTTGAAGGCAAGGATTCCTGTTGTCACCAAAATAAAAATTAACTTTACTATTTTTAAAAAATAGCAGTTTGTCTGCAATCTTCAAGCAGATGTATTGGATAATATGCTTGGAACTTGTTGTCGGTTATGCGTCCTGTAGTTTGAATATTTAGTTTTTTGATGTATAAAACAGGAGAAAGTTACAAATTAGCTTTTCATATTTCTACTCCTAAAACTCAACACAACACTATTCTTGCCCACAAGTGACTTGTATTCTTCGTTTGATATATTGTCTCAGATCTCAGCACGGATTTGACTTAAGTAATTTTCGACTTACAAAGAAGCTTTAAAACGTTGTACTCGATAGAGATCATTGTTAAATATAGCTATTTTGTGTGTACGCTTTTGTAGCAGTGTAATGCATCACAAATTCATTTGTTTGAACCGTTGAACCATTCACAAAATAATTTACGCCGCATGCATGCAGCTAAGCTATTGTGTACTCTTTAATTGTGTACTCCAGCCTTAACATTGAACTAAACTGGCGATAATTCTCCCAGGCTGTCTCCAGTATGAAAATTACTTTAAATACAACTTTATCATCTCATCAATTTTAGCAAGTGTAAAAATTCCAGCTCATAAACTTTCCACGTACATTGAAGGAAATTGTTTCAATAAGACATAGAATAATTAGGAGTCATATGAGGTTTTTTCAAGATATCGTACGTATTAGAAATAATGAATACAAAATACATTCATTTTCAATATGGCCTATGTACAAAACGAAACTATCGTTTTATTTACAGTCAATATCGCCAGCATGCCCCTGTTGGTCCTGCTGTCAAAGTTTCTATGTTCACTCACTGCAAAAACAATGGATTTTTTAAGACATGAATAAGTTGAAATTCACAAAGCTGGACTAAAACTTGCAAACTAAAAAACTAAACATCGCTTACTTTCATTGCGATAACTTAATAACTTTCACTTTTTTCTGGCAAATTCGTAGTGTTACATAATTTATTGTTTATTAGTCACATGGCAATATTAAGCGCGAAAAGGACACCCAATAGCGAAAGGAAAGTATAGCGGTTCAGGAGTAGTTTTTAGTTGTAGGACGATAGGTCGGCAAACCATTTCTCTCCAAAACTATTATATATTCCTCTGCTGCATGTTACGCTCTGTTTCTCCTACACTCATCTGTCTGATATTAACAAGGTTACTGCAGGTCGCAAAGCGAGCAAATGGGTAGTGCTGATATAAAGTTAATGCGCATGCGTATCGTTACTTCTTTTCTCTGACGCTTTTCGTCAACATATGGTAAAGCCTCTATGTCAACTCTTTGATGCATTACGAGATTCTTTAATTCATAAAGACAACCATAAACTGTTTAGCTATATGACTGAATTTCTGTAAATTTTTATCGTTCTTGTAAATGTGTATGGTTGTTTTGTTGTTATGCATGCACACTGGGATGTTTCATTTACTGCTACTAAAATTTAATATCCCCAGTCAACAAAACGATCGTATCTCACCCATCATTTGACAGAAACAATGGCAAGAAAACCATGATGGAAAAGTAAGACACAAAAACGACCACAAACGTAGAGATGCTAAGGACTTTTGCATAATGCTTTTGTACAGAGTCACGTGTTTAGATGGATTAGTTCACGTTTGAATTTATTAAAAGATGTCACATATAAATGGTAATTCTAAAAAGCGAAGCGATGAACGGTGACGTTTATGAGCCCATTCGCATAGAAGATAAAGTGGGAAAAAATGCAGAAACTTTTATGTTATGTGGAAAAAAGGCATTTAACAATGCATTCCTTTGGACACGACTCAGCTTTCATTCGCTTAACCTTTTTTTAAAATTGATATTTTAATGCAAATTACGTCAAACACAAGCAGAAAATGCGCTCTACACGATTCGCATTAAATAAAACAAAGACAAAAGTTGTAATGAATAATTTATTTAATCACGCCACCAGAATACAGGCTCCGCCAACTTCTTTAATTTTTTTTTCTGCCTTGCGGCTGAAAAATTTCGCTTTAACAATTACTGGTTGATTGGGCAGTAGACCTTTTCCAAGTACTTTGAAATAGCCCTAGAAATAAAATAATTATAAACAACAAAATTTTTCCGAATAATATGTTTATAAAACTTCAAATAAAAAATTCCACAGAAGTATAACACAATGAATTTTGAACATAAATTGGTTGAGGAACATCTAAACAAAACAGTTAAATGGGAAACAGTCGTGTAACAATGTTTTTACATTTAAGAAATAAAAGATGTTTACTGTGTTTGCACAGGCTTATGCAAACCGAGGAGACCTTTGGGAGAGCTCGAGAGTTTATCAGTGCAAGCTCGAGACCGAAGGTCAAGGTTTGCACGTGCTCGAGGGTTCTTACAAACGTCTCCAAGGTTTGCATAAGCCAGTGCAAACACGAAAAACTTCTTTTATTCCTTTTATAAAATAATGCGAAAGACAAACATTTTAATTTTTCCTCTAAAATGTATTCGTGATCGATTTGCAAATCTCTGACTGATTGATTGTTTTCATTGATTGAGCTCAGATGTGTCCTGCACAGGCTAAAAAACAGATCTAGACCAATCACTGCACGCGTTTTACTATTTTTATTTTATAAATATAATGATGAACATTATGCATCATGAATCTGCTATACAATCAGCAATTTTATCATTTGCAATTCACTGGTGCTCAAGCCTCACAGATTTAGAAATATGAAAATGAGTTCAGTAAATTCGGTGCTGTATATAATACAGCATTTAAGTTATTTCATATTGTGTTTACCCATTTCTACAATTTCTTTTAAGACAAATTATTGTGTTGGGATAAGACGCCAAATAGACCAATGAAATAAACGATTTGTTCTTTGCTAATCATCAAGAACAAAACCGTTAATACTTACAGCTCTGACAACATCAATAACAGGTGCGGGACCATCTTTCTTGTCTTTGTAATATTCCCTTGTTTGCTCACTAATCAATGACCAGATTTTGTCCAGGTTGATAGTAGGACAATGATATTTATTCCTTGTCAAATGAAAATATCGCATTCCAACTTTGCCAAAATAACCCGGATGGCTAAAAACATTGAAAAACAAGATTACAAAATTCTGAAGACAAACAAGAAAGATATTATTGAGAAATACAGCTCGCGTATAAAAATGCCTGTATACGTATCAGGATGAGGGAAAGAAGTAGTGTAAATAAATCGATTTCAAGAACACTTGTATTATATTTTTTAGGTCGAAAATTTTGTCATCTTGGGACTTTTTGCATAGATGACCAAAGGCGGGAAATGACGTACAAAGTAGAACACGTGCATTGACGGTATAGCATTCATTATACAGACTTATAGTTAGGAATAAAGCCGTTATAACAAATCTTCTTAAAAAACTACAATATTAATTAAGATTTGTAAAAATTCGACGACATCGATTGAGTCAATAATCAAGGAAAACATTTTAAAAAACACATCTCTTCGGACGCAATTTCCCCACTGAAATAAAATATTTCCCTGACCCTGATATATGCACATTAAAGAGACAATCAAGAGCTGACAAACTATTCAAAATGTATCATAAGACAAAAATTTGATCTTTCTCGACTTTATGGGCCTCAAAGTTGGCTTTTTCGTATTTGACCGTGAGGTGCTGTGACTGACTGGGTCTAGTTCACCACACGTGACGAACAATGGAGAACACGCCGTTTTTAACCCTATATTTTATATTGACATTTGTAGCGAAGTCGAGGGAATTTATTTGTATTACACTTGTATTGAGCGAATTTTTTAGTGATTGAGATGCGCGTTATTGAACAGAACTGCCTTCAACCTCCATAATATAATCCAATAGAAAGAAAGTCTAACAAACCTGACTATGTAAATTGATGACGGAAACACTGGACGACATCGGTCTTAGCGAAAAATGAAATGAAAATTTCATAAATGATCAAATCGCGCACTTTGCTATTGAATTAAAACTATAGTTCTATAGCGTTCAAAAGCAGCATGTTCACCAATGTACGTCACGTTCAGTGAACTAGACCCAGTCTCAGCATCTCACGGTCAACTTTGAGGCCGAAAAAATTCAAGAAAGATCAAATTTTTGTCCGATAAAGTGCATTGCAAATGATCTTAAAATCACCCACTCTATCTAAATACATTGTTTTTTGAGGGGACATAGACACTTTTAATGGCTTGTAGGGCGGGACATAGACCCTTTAATGGCTTGTAGGGGGTACATAGACACTTTTAATGGCTTGTAAGTAAATGATCTTTTACCAAAACTTCCACATACTACTTATCAAAGTTAATTCTATTATGAGTTAAACCACCAGTGTTACCACGGCCACCAGGATGTTTACGATGTTTTCCTTACACAAAAAATAAAATGAATTTTTACAATGTCGACATATAGTTTGACTGATTGTTGACATTTGAAATTTCTATTGACTAAATATGTAAACAACATGTATGGAAATGTACAAACATCTGATACATAAAGAAAGCTATAAAGTAAATGGTTTGAGCCCGGGAGTATCGTTACATGTTTGTAAATGTAGATTGTCCAGGTTGGTATAGTCCTGAGAAGGACTGTTTTTATTGTTGTTGACTCTGAAGATGACTACCGCTAAGGTTGTCAAAACGCCAGTCAACAACAACAAAAACAGTTCTTCTCAGGACTATACCAACCTGGACGATCTACATTTACAAACATGTAAAGAAATTTATGATACACAATATCTATGCACAGGCTTTTGCAAACCGAGGAGATCTTTAGGAGAACTTGAGAGCATATCAGTGCAAGGTCAAGACTGAATGTTGAGATTTCTAACAAACGTCTCTGAGGTTTGCATAAGCCAGTGTAAACATGAAAAAAGATTTTTATTTCTTTTATAAAATAAGAATAATGCGACAGAAAAATTTTGAACAAGCGTTTTAATTTTGCTCTAAAATGTATTCATGATTGATTAGGTAATTCCTTTTGATTGATTGAGCTCAGATCAGTTTGCACAGGATAATGGAAACAAGGCTTTGACCACACACTTTATTGGGTTTATTTTATAAAAATCCTTAGTTAATGTGTCCATATGGTAAATAATTTATTATAAAACAAAACCTAGTCCTAGATTTGATGTGTCCCATAGCAAATCCATGGTATGTCTGAATACATTACAACAGCTAGTTTTTAATTCAAAATACAAATACAACGTCAAAATGATAGAAAATTTTGAAGGAAAATTTTTTTGCCATAGTTTTGCTAATAAGACATTTCATAAAGTATTTTGATTTTTAGATATATATTTCAACGTACAAAAGATTTGGATTCAACCCAGACCTAATAATGAGTCTACCTTCATCGTAAATAGTATCATGGTAAATTATGTAACCTCAGTGAATTGGTTGACAAGAGTTTGACGTCAAGGTAAATTACTTATAAGCAATCAGTTGATCATGGATTTAAATGTTTGGAATCTCCCTCACATCTCATCTTCTGGGATAATTACAACTCTCAATGGACAGATTTTGAGTTTCCACATTGTTTGATTAGAAATGGCATTAAAACCTTGTATGAGTACTATTGTTTACGTAAAAAATAGCAAACAATTATAAGACAGCATGTAGTATCAGGCCGCACATTCATATAAAGAATGACAATTAAAAGTTTTGAACACATTCTATCTTTTCTGATCATTTTAGAAGGACCTTGGTGTTCAAGACTAGAATTGTGCAAAAACATTACGCCTGGTTTTGGAGAAAAAATAAATCCATAGTTAATGTATTTAAGTGATTTCAACAGCTGGTCTTACACCATGGTTTATGTATGGTCCAAGTTAAGATGTCAAAACAATTTCTTAAACATGTCAAGAATTAATGAATACTGCCCACCATAATCCTCCTCAGAGTTATTAAATAGTAGTTACAGTTTATTCTGATATTTTAAAGACCATCAAAATTTATTATCTTCAACACATTTAAATCTAGACCAGCCGCGAGACAAAAATAAAGCGAAAATGTGCCAAGTCAATAACATTTTCACAATCTACAACATTTCACTGGAACATAAATAAAATATATATTGTTTGTAATGTTGTTGAATTACATTAATAAAATTTAGAACTCGCTTATTCCCATTTTCGTAAGCAATTCTACCTTTGCAGTGGGTGGTAGGTAAATCTTTCACAGGGAAAATTAATAACAGCACATAATCAACCGATCTAAATTCATTTCTCGTCTAGCTTAAAGCTTTATGCAAACAAATTGCTGCGAAAATATGCATTTGAAAGTTTTCAACAACCATTCAATACTTACCTACACGACCATGACCATGGCTAACGTGTCCTCGAAGCTTTCGAGTCTTTTTCAACCGAGTCGTATACCATAAAATACAAAAGCTAGTTAAGTATAATATTAAAGAGAGAAATATGACACGAATTGAGTAAAAAAGGTATTACATTGACATATAAGAGAGGTCTATAAGAACGATGTTTCAAAGCAATGAAGATATAAAAGGATTTAAAACAAACTATATAAATCTTACAATAACTTCTACGTGGTAAAGAAAGAGAGAAAGACTAGATAGCCGCGCCTTCATTAGTCAATTGAGACCAGCGGTAATTTGGTTTAATGAAATACGTCATGTGCAACATCATATAAATTTTCTTAGATGTTTGTAGATGTAGATCGTCCAGGTTAGTAGAGTCCTGAGAAGGAGTTTTGATGCTGATGTTGACTGACGTTTCGACAACCTTAGCGGCAGTCATCTTCAGAGTAACGTGAAGCCTTGTACACTACTCTTGACATTAGTTTTTCTGAAAAAATACAATAATTCAAATTAATAACCAAGTATGATTCTAGGCGGGAAGCGAAGCGAATTTCAATGATAAATATGAAAGGAAAGTGCTTTTGAATGAAAGAGTCATTTAAAACAAAACTATATAAGATCTTTTATGTATCTCTACATCCTACTTCATAACATATTATCTAATCCTGATCTGATTATACTTATAGACCTTGTAATTATACTTATACATATCGGCAAGCGGGATGCATGTAACAATCTATGTTTAACATCGATATTAGATTCATTCTTTTCCAGTGGAAAGCGGGATGCTTTCACTGAAGGGCAATGATGTATTGTCTAACATTAACACCGGATTATGTTACTGATATTTAATATGGAATTCGAGCTTTGTTAGAAACTAATATTTCATCAATATCGTTGATTGAAACAATATTTTTCATTATTTCATGAAATGATTACAGTTTTTTTGACTTCTAGCTATGACAATTTTTTGCACATTTTCTCGTAGTAAACAACGAGCGTAAATGCTTAAGACATATTACATGACGTATTGACATTGATATTGATCATTGTCATGAAATCATAAATATTTATGAAATTCTTCATGGTTTGATTTTCATTTCACTGGTTTCCACGTTATAAAAATTAAGCCAACCAAGATTTTTACCATTTAGGTTAGAGTGATCACATGCATTATACCACCAAGCACCTGTGTAGGAAGTAGCGCAATTTCCCCAACTATATTTATCATTATCTGAATCTTTGGTTGAAAACTTCATGTTATTGTGATAGGATAATGCATCCCCAGCAGTTCCTGAAAAGTAGAAATAGTTCTATAGTTTTCTGGTGATTTGTATTTTAAAAACGTACAAGAAACTGTTCAGATCATTCTGTCATTATTCACAATAAACTTTATACGCAACATTCCATGCATTTAATGATGCATATATATTATATTAAGAGTATTTGCTAAACAGTTTTTTTCGTTGTTGGCTTGATTCAAACACACAGGAACAGAAAGAGAGTTAAGAAATGCATTGTGAGTTATTTACACCGCTTTTTTACTAAAGAACATTCCCAAGTCTTTAGTTATGGAGCTCCAACACTTCAAAAGAAATTGTTATATGAAGTAACAAGAAATCATCTTCATTCTCAGACATGTTTAAAATTAACGCACAGCAATTTAAATTTCCGTCTTTATATTGCCTGATTCAAGCACGCGCATCGACCAATCAGAGGACGAATTATACATTTGTTATTTTATAAATTTCTTGCTGCAGGCTTTTATTTTTGCATGCTTTGCAAGAAAACATCTTTTCATATCATTAAAAATTATAAATAAACTGCTCTTTTTGCGCTATACTCTTTCCGGATTGTACATAGGAAAAACAAAAGCAAAGGCAAGCAAAAGTGCTTAGGCCTATTTCAAATGTTGCATTTACATGAGCCGAATGCATAGATGATTAATTTTATCGCATTTTCTTTTCTTTTAAATGCGTTCGACACATGTAAAATGCAACGTTTTAGACGGGCCGTAAAAATACGAGATGTGCTTATAGATAATATTCAGATAATTATTATCTTTTTGAGGAATAAAACTTGTCTTTAAAGTTACTGAATATCCTGCTCTTCAAAATGATCTTGTTAATGCATTGTATATTGTCTAAATGTAAAGTCGAATGCATTGTATATTGTCTTTCTTGCGGTTGACAATTCAGACGATACATTTCTTTACCCCTTTGGGTTTGTTCATATGAGACGGGCCAGTCCAATAATCCCGGGCTATCTAGTTTCCTTGGCCAATTTGTATTTGCATTCATATGAGGCGGGCTGGCTAAGCTGAAATGTTGTATTTAATTTCTGCCAACAAATATTGTATTTTGTTTTGGAAAATTAAATTAAGTTTAGACTCAGACATTCAACAATCTGATTGCTACCAGTGAGTTCCACCGACTATTGTAGTGGTATAACATGGAATTTTCAAACTTATTTTCAATTGCACATTATTGTTTTGAAAATTTTGCCATCTTTAAGTAACCAAATAAGACAAGAGCATGCGCAGTCTCATCGCTTCCAGCCCAGTTCAGCCGGGCTGGCCCCGCTTGATGCAGTTATATGAGCCCGTTAGAAGCGAGATCTCGCTTCCTTCAAGCGGATCTTGTTAAGCCGGGCTGGCCTGCTCTTCATATGAACACAATTTCAAAAAAATTGTAAAATCACAAAATGTTGTCGCTGATTGAAATACAATTGTTTTTGAAAATAAATTGTTGTTGATGTCGTGTTATATGTCATAAATGAATTTTTTCGTTTTTTTACTTCTTCACTTTTGATGTTGATTCAGTGAACGGTTCAGCAGTTGCATATACTTGAGATATGACATTTCCATCGAGAAAGACGCAACCAAAAATCGCTAAGAGAGCAAAGGTCCTCATGATCTTGTAATGTAGAAACCAATATGAGTAAAGAAAATGAACTTGACCGAGAATTTAAAGTGATATACGATCCTGTTTATGTCTTCAATTAGGCAAACGACGCAAAGCACCTCATAAATTTGTCAACACTACCAGCTGTGGTGAATATCACTTTCTATTTTCAGCTGTCATCATATACATTTAAAGCGTTTCATAGAATAGATTTTTTCGAATATAATTATTTTTTAAAACGACAGTGTGTATTGTATTGCAATGAAAAAATACGTTATAAAATAACAATCAATCACGTTTTTTGATTGAAAGAGAATTGACATAAATGAGATATCAATTCGCTTAAAGAGGAAGAAATTTAGATGGAACCCATGCCGTGGCTATTTTTATCTTTTTTATAGACATGATTAAAATAAAATATTGTACATGTTTAAGTAAATCCTATATTTTATTTCCCATTCGAAAATTCATAACCTTTATACAGCTATATTGTCCCTTTGGAAGATAAATTTAAATAACTTGAGCTCACTAATGTTTTCATTGCGTTTATGAAGTTAAGCAGATTTAATTACAACTTAACTGAGAGTCATTCTGATGCTTAAGAAATCATGCGAACCGTTTAGACTTCAATTTATGTTTGAATAAGTTCACGTACGTCAAAATTTCGTGTTTTCTTACAATACTAACGTCGTAGTTTTGTCGTTACTTTTCATCAAATCATATTGGTATTTTGTTAAATATTTGTAAATGACCATTGGAATTATGTCTGATATATAATATCATTAAGTTTTCAGACAAAAAAATAGGGTCCCCAATTGACTTGACCTTACTATGAAGAGCAAAGCTCATGCTAACTACGTATGCCAATGTTGCTATCGAGAACTCCTTTCCTAAACATTGTCATTGTTGATAGTTTTTGTTTGAAGCCACAGTCGATAGCTAGCAATCCAGCTGTGTGATACAGAACAATAATTACTAGGTCAATGTCAAACTCGTTGTCAAAGGCGGTAAGTTGTTTTTGAGCAATGTCATAGATTCATTGGATTTGTTGTGATGCAAAGTGGATGGATTGTGATGCAAATTTCAGTAATAATTAGTAAAAAGTATCAAAAACTTGAGAATTTGCTAAACTTCTTAATTTATGACCAATATTATAAGATATTTACATTGGCTATTCACATTTGTTTTTACCATAGATTGAATGAGTCACCGAAGTTATATAGAATAAGTTCCAGGAAAAGATGCACAACAGAATTCCAGTTGTTAATGAACTGAAAACCCCTGCATGATAAGACACAAAGTTACTTACCTACTTACTAAGCAATGTCAGTACTATGTAGGGGGTACACTGAGTGAGCTCGATACAGTTGCTTGTGGACGATATGAAGGTATATGAGGAGGTGGAGGATGTGAAGGTGTTTAAGGAGGTGAAGCCTGTGCAGGTGTATGATGAGGTGGGTGATTTGAAGGTGTATGAAGAGGCGGTGGAAGTGCAGGTGTATAAGGAGGTGGAGGATATGAAAGTGTTTGAGGAGGTGAAGGATGTGCAGGCGCACAAAGAGAAAAAGGCGGAATGGGAAAAGTAAAAAGTGAAAAAAAAGAGAAAAAACAATGCCAAAGAAGAGGAAGAGGAGAGAAAATGAAATGAAAAAAGAAAAAAGAGGATGAAGGAAGAGACGAGGGATAGTAAATGGTAATCCGTAGAAGGAGATGAGAAAAAGTAAAATAAAATTGTTTCTCCTCCTTTCCTCTCTCTTCTCCCTTCTCTCTCTTTTCTCTTCTCCTTCTTCTCCCCTTTCTCTCTCTCTCTCTCTTCTTTCTCTCTCTTCTCCCTTCTCTCTCTTTTCTCTTCTCCTTCGTCTCTCCTTTGTCTGTCTTCTCCCTTCTCTCTCTTTTCTCTTCTCCTTCTTCTCCCCTTTCTCTCTCTCTCTCTCTTCTCTCCTTTCTCTCTCTCTCTCTCCTCTCTCCCTTCTCTCTCTCCCTCTTCTCTTCTTTCTCTCTCTTCTCCCTTCTCTCTCTTTTCTCTTCTCCTTCGTCTCTCCTTTCTCTCTCTTCTCCCTTCTCTCTCTTTTATCTTCTCCTTCTTCTCTCCTTTCTCTCTCTCCCTCTTCTCTCCTTTCTCCTCTCTCCTCCTTTCATTCCCTCTTTTCTCATCCAACCTTTCTGTTTTTCCCTATTTTCCACCAGTTTTTTAATCCGAATAGTGAAACTAATACTAGCATT